GTGCGTGCGTGCGTGCGTGCGTGCGTGCGTGCGTGCGTGCGTGCGTGCGTGCGTGCGTGCGGGCGTGCGGGCGTGCGTGTGTAATATAAAAAGAAATTAATTTGTATTTGGCAATGTTAAGACTGATACATTTTGATTGTTTAAATTGGTGTAGATATTTAATTTAAACAATATTGTTATATTAATTACTTTTTTCTTGCATTATTTATTACGAGAAAAAATATATATCTTCTAGTTATATTTGTTTGTGATCATTAATTGTTATTATTTTGATAAAACAATTTGAGTGATAAATAATTAATCGGGATGTCACGTAGAAAATTTTTAAAATATTTGGTTGCACTTACGTATCAAGAATGTTTAAATATTAATTTTAATTTATCTTATTATACATTACGTATAATGCACATAACATATTATGTATTCAATATTTAGTAGAATTCTATTTGTATCTGTCTATAATTGAATGATTATTTATTTATTTATTTATTTTTTTAAAATTTAGTTTGTATTATTTTAAATTTCCAGCATGCATATATCAGATCTTTTTATATAAGAATAAATAAGAATAAAACCATGGCCTACATTAGTTTAAATATAAAAAAATTTAAATGTAAAAAAAGAAGAATATATTAGTTTGTAAATTTAAGAAAGGATCTATGGATGTGTGCGTTTTTAAGCTAAAGATTGATGTTATATGTGTTGAAATGACTCTTAATATAGATTATTTCTCACTCTTGTGAAAAATTTCGATGCTACGATCTTTTGCACTCGTCTTATATATAGGTCGCGGGTATGTAATCTAATCTAACTTTTAATTGCATAAACTCTCTCAGAGAGATTTTGTCTGATCATACTTTTTATACATATTAGCATCTCCTTGCACGTAAACTGTTTGTTGTGTTGCGATATAATCGAGTCTATATTTTGTGATTCAAATATAAAACTATATAAACATTCTACTTAGTTTATCTATCATATGATACTATAAGCTCTTTTCTCTATGGATGCTATTCGCAGTGTTAGCAAAAATCTATACTGTATCAAAATATTTTCATTATAATTACGTGCTTTGTATAAGATTAAAACATGTAAGGATTTTGAAAGCAGAATCTTATTATTACTCGCACATATAACTTGATTAAATATACGTTGATTTTTTATAGTTTTTTGCGATAGCATTTTGCGAATTTATCGTTGCTATCACAATCTGCGAAAGTGCCATAAAAAATTACATCATATATAACTGATATTGATTTTATTGGGCAACAATATTATCTATCATAATTATTTTATTATATAGAGAGCGTAAAAAATATTGTATAAAATAATTAAGGGATTATTTCGATAATTACTTGGCAAGTAACAACATCTTTTTAGAAATTTTGGATTCAAATAGAAAGTACTTTTGGATTCAACATAAGTATTTTCTTTTATATATTTTTTTATAATCTACAAAAATGATTAATGGTTAATCTTTTTGAAAAAAATAACTATTGAAGCTATGTTAAAATTATTACTATATTTACAATATAATTAGCAAAAGTGTACAAAAAAAATGATCCTTTAATTGTTTTGAACACTGCAGCATCCACATTTAATTATAATGCAGTATATTGCTTATAACCCATTGACAAATGCTCTAAAATTGCTGGAACGTAAAAATACGTAAAAAGTATGTACAGGACAGCTAAATTTTAAATGACGCTAAATTTTTAATTTCGCTAAATTTACTGAAAAAAATATTATAAACGATGTGACAGTGTATTTATTAAAGCCTTTTTTATTCGAAATATTTTTATTAAATTCATCGGTGAAATGAAGCGTTCTCTAAATAGCGAGCTGTCTTATAACACATTCATAAATGTATATTTATATTAAGTGTATATCTATTTTTTAAGACTAAAAACAAAAGCATCTTATGGATTATATACATCTCCTGGTAATATTTGTAAGCTAAAGTAAAAAAGAAAAAAATGAATTTGTAATTCTCCAACTTTCGCACACAGTTTTGCGTATGTAAAATATTGTGTATTTTACGATATCTGAATCATATGCAAAAACTCACCCTTTTTTACGACCGTACATAAGGACATTTCGGTCGTTACTCTTGCGGAAACGGTCAAAGTAAAAGCGTTTAATTGGTATATCGGATAAAGTTGCGAAAGGTCGAAGCTGCGCGATAACTCACGTGCGAATCTTATTTGAAGTTTTAGATACTCAGGATTTAGCGTTCCACGTATTCACGTGTCATATGATCTGTAATAAAGCTACGTTTTATATCGCCGTCCATGGAGGAGTGCATAAAAACATGCAGGGTTGTCGTAGGCGGATGAGGCCACTTGCGCGCGTGAGCGAGACCAAAAATGGAAATTTGAAAGCGCGATATATATTTATAACAATAGAAGAAATGCGACTCTAATATATACGTGACATGTTGCACACACACACACACACACACACACACACACACACACACACACACACACACACACACACACACGCGCGCGCGCGCGCGCACACACACACACACACACACACACACACACGCACATATATATATATAAAAAGAGCTGTGAGAATCATATATTTTGAAGAAAATGGAACAAAACGAGAATATCCTTTTCTCTTCACTCTGCTAATATATACTTGTATACCGAAGAAAAATATTACGAAAATATACATCCTGTTATATCCTGTTATGTATTCATATTATATGTACGATCTTTCGTATAATGTACATGTATATATAAGCGCACATACGTGTGCAGGTATATATGCGATGTGAGTGCGTGCAATTATTTTTTTGTTGATGCGTGTGTGCGTGCATATACGTGACCGTCAGTCTGTATGAATTATATTGATAATAAATTATAATTCATATTTATAACAACGTTTCCTCTCTTTCCACTTATTCCACTCATTCAATTT